CTGTGTCACGGTGATCGATTTGTCTCGTCCCTCTTAAAACAAGGCAGCTGCAGGTTGCAGCCACCAGCGCCACTGTTTTTGAAGATGTGTTGAAGAAGAACTGTACCAGAGCTTAACGAAGCCTATACCAGATAACTAGATTACTAATGTAATAAATGACGTCGGTACGGATCGGTGCCTTGGACTCCACGTGACTCGCCGATACCGATGCAGCATGTCGGCATATCGGAGACATTTCCGATACTGGTATCAGAATCGGAACAACTCTAATTACTGCTTCTCTTTTTTGGACTGTTAGCTTCATAAAAAAAGAGATTTAACAACACTTTTCAGTAGAGCAAAACAGTCAGGCCAGGAAAAAAGAACTCATTCCTGTAAATGCCATCGGTCCTGGTAATTTCTGCCCAGTGAACCACAGATGACATATTGTGTTGTATGAGAATTTTAAATTTTCATGAGCGACAGAATCACCAGAAGCTGAAGCTCATAAGCTGCATATGTATGAGGCGTCAGGAGGACGGCGGCGTCAGGGGAAAATTAAACCATTATTCTTCCGCTTGTTGCAACACTGCCAGCAACAAATGCATTGTGAAAGTCAAAGTACCAATTTCCAGCAACATAAAGTGAGCAGCGACTTATCTGCTGCTGACAGCTTTTTGTGTGGGCTTCTTCCTCGCCTTTTCTGTGTCTAAATTGAGCCGCTGTGGTTCGCCTATAACCACAGGAGAGGAGAAGGGGCAAATGCATGAAAAGCAGCAGGTTGTGACCGCTCACATACAAAATGACTCAACCTTCATCTAACAGGTTGAAAATGTGAGACATAGTTCAATACAGATAAGGAAACTCCTGCTGAAGGCAGGTGTTGGAGTGAAATGTGGTACAAGTACAGCAGCAGCAGCTTATTAAGGTAAAAACACACACTGTATATGACCTCAACCATTTCAGTCACACCTGTTTGTAGATCGGATTTAAGCACTGACCATAGCTTTTGAGCCCAATGGTTGACATAGCAACACTCTAACACCAAATCTAAGTGTCATGAATTTCTCATCATTTACCATATATGCAAAGTAATCACATTACTTAAACATATACACATATATAAACTGAGCTGTGCTACAATTTCAAAATTGGATTAAAGCAATACCTTCTAACAAAACTGATACAAAATATTCTTTGGGAATAAAGTTCAACCAACTCATTTAATTGATTTAAATAAAAAATTGAATCTATTTTACCCCATTGCAGAGGTATTTTACAATAAAATACAATATAATATTGGGTATAAAATAAGAGAATCACTAACAAAACTTCATTATATGAAATGTTATAAAAAGCAAATATATCCTAATAATGTGAAACTCTGTCCATAACAACAGGGGGGAACTTTCTTTAAGTATTTTAGGGACTCGATGACCTTTTCACACTTAATCCTTAGTATTGCAGAAATATTCTGAAATGAACCTCAGGTTGTGATTTTCTCTGATTTGCAGTTTTAATTCAGTCTCATCCATCTTTTCAGAGCAGACATACAATAGTAATAATAATGTGCTTCCATCCTTTGAATAGAGATACTCTGCAACTACAAAATCCCATCTGAAGCCCTTTTGGCAGAATTTTGGAGCACGTCTCTTCTTTCACCATCTTTGTTCCGGTGAATGCAGCAGTGATGGCTTTCCTCGTACAAATTCCTCCTGGCCGTGAAATGAGGGGCGACAATGGGAAAAGAAGCTGGATATGCACTGTGAAAAGCCGCCTGTCAGGTTTCAGCTGAATTCCTGCTTGTGCCTCCCCATTTCTCTGGGCTTTATCCAGGAAATTGATTTATCCCAGGGGGGTTTATAAGCAGACGGGGCGCACTTCTCTTCCGTCAGCGACAAAACACATCTAGGTGGAGGTGTCATTTTCCCCTCACGGGCAGCACTGCGATTGCCGGACTCAAATTGCCGTTCTTCAAAAACCTCCCTGCCGAGTATAAGCACTCTGAGGTCAGCAGGTCAACATCTCTAAATGTTCGGGGAGCGGCGGCTCTCAGAGCAGCTTTCAGCGAGCACAGAGGATTAGCGACTGTCGGCTTTTCATTTCTCTGCAAGCTCTGTCTCTCTCTCATCTGTGTGAGACAACAAGAAACTGTTCTTCTTTGTCATGTTGGGTAATGAAATTGAAACAAGGAAGACGAAAGTATAATACCGTCAAACTTCCCTAATAGACGCAGGTCTCCTTTAAAAGCCTGGTGTGGCTACACGTTTTGACAACGCAGGTCTCCAATAGAGGCCTGGTCTGGATTTTATAGAAATTATCTTGATGTACAAAACATCTTAAAATCCAGCAGGGCGCCGGCTTGAGCCAGTTTTCAGTAGTTTCGATCGCCTACACAAATATAAATGTTTAACCTTATGTCAATATGGATGCTGCACATCCTTAGATCAGCTAGATTCTCCACAATTCAATCTGTCACAAAACTATCAACACCAAAGTATAATGTTAATTCATTCAGACTTACTGCTAACATGGTATACAAGAGAGACGGGGAAAAAACTCGAAGTGATCATAAAGTCCTCCATTATTTAGTCTGAACAGCTCAAATCCGATCCAGGCCACTTTCACACGTGGTCCTGAGTCAGAAACATATCTGATGTTTTATGCAATGCGTCCTTCGTTAGATATGATTTGAGATGACCAGACAGCCAATCAGAGGAGCTGTCAAACTGTCAAAATGTATCAGATGTGAAAAGAGACAAAACAAACTGAAGTCTACAGTCCTATAATGAGTGAATATCATGTCCAGTGATCAGTTACTGATAACGTTGCCTTAGTTCTCTCTCTGTTTTTACAACTTGCACTGCTGCAGCCTGTAATGTAACGCCATTATGTTCAAACTTGAGCAGTGTTGAAGTGTTAAGGACATGTTAAGAGTTTCCCTGGAACCAACCTTACAGCAGAAATCAAGGTCTAAATTTATCTCAGGAACTCAAACAAAGTCCTTGTTTTTAGAGAGCCAATCAGAACTATCAGCAAATCAATTCAAATACAAGCAGTTTCCTAGTGTGTGTAAATTACTGCCAATTTAAATCTGTAATCAGACTAATTTACTGTACTTTGTTATTTATTCCGATGTGTTGACAACACAGATAGGAAGAAGCAGAAGGGATCTTCATTTTCTGAGTTTAGTTCTTAACTTCAGTATATGTGGTCTCTTATTAAATGTAACTGAAAAAGGGCAGTTAGTCATTTTGCTGCTGCCGCTTTCACAGTGAGTCAGCCATTTCTTCAGACACAACAATGACGTGGAAAAAAGGCCAGAGCTTTTTTCATAACAAGGTGCACGTCAGAAAAATGGTAGAGGAAAAAAATGGACATAAATGAATTAGATCTTTGTTCCTGTTGGTACAACACTTGCTAAACCTGCTGTAACAGCTCTGACTGTGGAGGTTCCCTGTGAACAGAACATTTTTCCAGCTGAGCATGAGAAGTTTCACAGCTTTTACATTTTCAGCTGT